TTCGAGTTATGTTGTTTATTAAGGTTCTTCCTGTTTTTCACCTTTGCTCTTCGTTAAAAATTTTTTTCTTATGAATAAAAATTCTTCAAATGAAATAAACATATTGAATCTTTTCTCGTCAACTGAAAAGTAATTTGTTTTGTTTCGACATTTGAATAAGTCAGCATATTCCCCTTTCAATCTTTTTGCATTTCGACATCATTCTTTTTGACCAAAGTAGGACTTACCTAATAAAATACACTTTAGTACAACATGTACTTGTATTTGTTGTTTAGTATTATCTTACTAATAGAAAGAATATATCACCCATGATTTTATAAGAATACTCATTTGCAAATAGAAGTTTCTTTTTTTTTCTTGAAATATCTCGTGCTCAAATGGAATAATACAGAATACAAACGAAACCTTATGATCAAATTACAACGATTCATATCAGAGTTAGATTACTGCATACAATTCATTCTAATGTAATACATGTCGTCATTGTATTATACTATGAACGTCGATGAATACCATTTTAGATATGACATATAATAGAGATACTTCTTGCTGAATCTTATTTAACATCACTGAAAAATTGCACGTTAAAAGAAACAAGTAGGCTGGCTATTTTTCAAATAACTCAGAAACATTCGTAGCTTTTGAGTCTTCATTCAGTTCATATGAAAGAACTCGTCATCCATAGTGACCTTTGAAGAAGAGACTGTAACTGTATGCTCAGCACTACTTCGTTAATGGTGATGCCTGCACGGTATTTTCCTGCCATCGATGAACTGCACATTTATATATGTAAGATTTTTCGCTACAATGAGACCTGATGCAGCAAAAATGAGAAGAAGTGTTTCGTTAGGACAGAGGATCTTGGTAGGATGTGACGCAATGAAGGCAAAAATAGTTATACTCTTCTGCTAATAAAATAGGCAGGAGACTCACCATTTCTGCTCTTCTGAGTGAATCGAGTTTCCATCTGCTGACAATTGACATTTTCAAATGCGACAAGAAGTATAATATGGATTCAAGGCACTTTGTGATCTAGATCGATCGTACAACTTCTATTTTAAGAAAAGCGCTCAGTTCTGTTATTCATGTCGTTGACATTTACAAAGAGATCCAGACATTATAGTCCAAGGAAAACAATAACATGAAAACCGATATGAAAAAGTTCTACACAAAACAAAAACATTCAAATGTTCCATAAATTTTCAGGTATATCTTGGATATTCTTCTGGCTCAAACAAGAAAAAATTACTCATCAGAAGACACGCCAAAAAATACTATCTGAAGTGTGTTCAAAAGATTGATCCATCTTTTTGTTAAACACTTTTCATCAACTTCAGGATACTGAGCCATTTGATGAGATCTCGTATTCATGACCAAAACGAGTCCTGGCATGTTCTACACACCCTCGAAAACTTCTTATGGGTTTTCATTAGACTTCATCGATCAGTTCATTTAGTTTTCGAATTAATTGGAACAGAATCAATTGTCTTGATTGTGATTTTTGTTTTCATTTTAACACCTTGGATATAAACCGGTTTTGAGCCTTTTAATGAGTTCCTTGGACAAGGATGAAACCGCTTAGAGTTACTCTCTATCTCTACACACGCACGCTATAATTACAAAGGCACACCGATGAACAATGTCCATTTGAAATTAGGAATACGACCAAAAAGTAACTTAGACCAACTATTAATCAAGAAAAAACCTAATCAACAAGTACTAACCAAGCTGTACGAAACATAAGAAAACTCAAAAGCCAATACTTAAGAAAAGAATACACTATTAAAGAGAAGACCTTTAATAGATTAGAAAAGTCCTTTTTTTTATACAGTCTCCTTTGAAACTTATGATTATATAACCTTATTCCAATGAAACAACATAAAAAAAATCATTCCTTCCTACATGTCTTAAACAACATAAGATTTTCAGATTAACGCTCTTCTATTTAAATTTTAACAATTCTCAAAATAGTGCACACCATTCGACTATCGATTAATAAGATGCAGAATTGGTGTAGCCACCCGATGAAATCCTTAAGCAAAGCCGAAATCGGTTGTGGTTGCTTAATTTTGTAAAAAAAACTCACCCCATCCTCATCCTCATCTTGGTTACTAGTTTTAAAACAATAAACCTTTTCGAAATAAAATTAAACACATATCAAATTATCAATGCTCGTGTATTTGATTACCATCTTGATCAATTGATAATTTTTAATCACGTTGGTATTTTATCTATCAATCGTTGACATAAAGATACACTAAATTTCATTTATTCCTTTTTAACGTTGTTTTTCAATGGCTCAGTATTATTGTATTCACACCTTCCTAATACACTGAAGTTGTTATAAGGCAGAAAAAGTGAGTTCCACACGTAAACTCCAAATTTGGAGCTCACTTACGCATCCATATTTTACCAATCAAATCCAGTCCATGTTTTCTGGTTTGTATTATAGGTTGACAACAAAGTTTTTGCATTTTTTTCAAAAATTTTATTTTTATTTTTCAACTCCAATAATAGAACTAGCTTTAAATTATATATGCACCACTACTATCTATGACTTGTCGCCAATGCTCTGGCAGGGATAGGATACCACGTTCGTAGAAGTCCTGGAACTTTTGATCGAAGAAGTTGACGAGTTCCATTTTGACGTAGTTCTCGTCATCGAACTTTTTCTCACGCATATGGCTAGAAAGAGAACGAAATAAGTAGTAGTCGGTTGGAGCCAGGTCAGAAGAATAAGGTGGATGAGGAACCGTAGTCCATCAGAGCTTCAATAGTTTTTCGCGCATCGACTTTGAAACATGGGGCCTCGCATTATCATGGAAATAGTAAATTCGATCCTGCTTTCCCTTGAGTTTTTCGGCAACCCGGTCCAATTGCTGACAGTAGAGGTCAGCAGTGATGGTGCAACCATTTGGAAGAATTTCCTAGTGAATAATCCCATTGACTCCCCACCAAACGCTCAGCATCACCTTCTTGGGATGCGGATCAGTCTTAGCCGTTGTTACGCCTGTTTAACCAGCACTCAGTCACTGGCATCTGTGCGTGTAGTTAATGTACAATACCCACTTCTCATCGCCAGTGATAAAATTGCGGAGCCATTGATAGTTGCAGTGAGATGTCATTAAAACCATACAAGCATCAACCCTGTGTTGAAGCTGATGTAGTGATAAAGGGTGATCAGAAAGGTTCGACCCCTCTCTGTAAATTGATGTTATCCACATGAATGCATATGTAGATAGTTGATTAAAATATACAGTTTTGTAGAGAATTAGAAGGGTTATCATCTGAAAAAAAAATGATTGAAATTGTGTCGTAGCTATGAAAAGTTATGATCATTTTATTCATGATGACTAAACAAAAACACATTACATTTTTTGAAAAACAAAATATGCTTGTAATATGTGAAGTAAAATATGGTTTTCTAGATATTTTTATATGGTTCGATAGAGTTCGACGAGCTCTACAAGAACATGAATATCAAAAAAATTTTGATGCTGTTTCCAATACAAAACTTGAAGGAAATCAGAAAGACTGATAAAAATTTCATATATCTTGCATAAGCGAGAGTATGCTGAACTTTCAATAACTTCAGCTGATCGACTGTTCCGTCTGTTCAGGAAGCTCGGAAAGGTTATTTTTAGCTTCAGTATATGACACTGCATCTCGAAACATAAATTAATAGTCGATCAGCTAGAGTTATTGGAAGTCAAGCGTATTCTCTGATGCAAGATATGTCAGATTTTTATTAGACTTTCTAGTGTCCTCCAAGTTTTGTATTGAAAGAAGGATCAGAATCTTTGTTTGATATTCATATTATTGTAGAGCTTGTCAAACTCTATCGGATCATATAAAAATATCTAGTAGAAACTTGTAGCAAACAATGTTTCACTCGACTTAAATAACTCAAAAATTAAAGTACTTTTTTGTTTTTTCAAAAAATGTAACGTGTTTTTGTTTAGTCATCATGAATAAAATGATCATAACGTTTCATAGCTACGACACAATTTCAATCATTTTTTTTCAGATGATAGCCTTTCTCATTCTCTGCAAAACTGCATATTTCAATCAACTATCTACATATGCATTCATGTAGATAACATCAATTTACAGAGTGGAGTCGAAACTTTCTGATCACCCTTTAACTCGTGGAGTATCTAAACTCCATATCCCTATGTCTTGCCTAATTCGTTCAGATGTTTTTCCACCGCAGTATAAGAGCACCCAAACTGCTGTGCTAAACACCGTAAAGTCAGTCGAGGATCTTCTTCGGTAAGCTGCCTTAAGAGATCCACATCAAGTTCCAGTGATCTACCAGAGTGAGGTAAACCGTCGAGTTCAAAGTCACCGTTCTTAAAGCGATTGAACCAATATTGTGCCGTACGGATGGAGAGCACATCCTCGCCCATCGTGCTGCATATGTTGTTGGCTACTTCCGTTACTTTGTGACCCAGACGAAATTCATGAAGTAAAAGCACTCGAATCTCTCTATGAGAAAGATTCATTTTCAGTCCACGATCAACGTTCATATCGATGGCTTTATTATCATTCGAAAGATATTCATACTCTCTTTATATACCTTTAGTATAGAAACTTCTAGTACTTTCTCGAATGTTTTAGAAAATTTTTAAAAAACACAAGAACTTTGTTGACAACCTAATATAATAAGATAATCAATTGAAGAAGATGTCAAATCAAGAGAACATCTTATACTAACGCTCTCATGTCATCGAATTCTATTCTGATTAATAATGAATCATTCCGTTTGTCTCTATTCGTTATTTTCGTATCAATCAAATTTAATTATTCTTAAATAAATGTGTATTAATATTACAACAAAATTTTTGAAAAAAAAGTTTTCTAAAAAAAAACGAAATATTTAAATATTTAAAATAAAAATAAAAGTTTATCTTCAAAATCTGATCCAATCCGAAAAGAACGAGATAAAAATTTAGAACAAAGGATTATAGACAAATTCATTATCATCTTCATCTTCGATCATGTGGGAATATGAAAAAATACTAGGTGAAGGTACTTTTGGAAAGTATGTAAACAATTACTTTATATATATATATATATATATTAATAAATTTTAATATCTAGTGTTGTTCGTGTTATAAATACTAATACATCTGAAATTGCTGCTTGTAAAATAATTGACATGATCAAATTAAGAGTTATCCATAAAAGACATTGGTGCAAAAGAGAGAGGGGCTTAGTAATAAACGGACATTTCTGGAAAATGGGAAGAGGAAGAAGTCGAATACATGTTAAAGTTCGGATGTTAATCTAAATTTTTTCATTGTCTCTTTCTAATATTTTTTGCCAAAATTTTCGAGTAAAACCGTTTTTTTGATCAGTCTTTAAAAAAAACAATCTGTCAAAATTCTATACGGCATTATGTATGGATAAACTATATGTATCGAAGATGTATCAGGTTGTGCGGAAAGTTCGTGCAGCTCATATACGATAAAACAATAGGATAGCAACTGCTGTATTTATTGAATGCATTGACCTTCGTCGGTAACCAGACGTTGCCAAGGGTTACGTAAATTATTTATTCCATTAAAAAAGGGCTCCGAATCAACATTACTTAAGTATTCCTTCACAACCGTGATCATTTCGTCTTCAGAGATAAAACTCTTGCCACGAAGAAATTTTTTCGACTTTGTGAACAAGTGATATCACTAGGTGCAACATCTAAAGAATCGGCAGGATGACACCTTCATTCACACTCTCACCCTTAAACTGAATTATCTCACCTCTTCTCTGGATATTGAACCTAGTGATATCACTTGTTCACAAAGTCGAAAAAATTTCTTCGTAGCAAGAGTTTTGTCTCTGAAGATGAAATGATCACGATTGTGAAGGAATATTTAAGTAATATTGATTCGGAGTCCTTTTTTAATGGAATAGATAATTTACGTAACCCTTGGCAACGTCTGGTTATTGACGAAGGTCAATGCATTCAATAAATACAGCAGTTGCTATCCTATTGCTTCATCGTATATGAGTTGTACGAACTTTTCGGATAAGGTAATATCACTAGCGTGATATACTCTAAAACAGAATAAATTTCTCGAATATTGATTAAAATATGTTTCTGAGTATTTGTAAATCAAATTAAGTTTACGAATTAATGCCGAAAAACTTGAAAAGATTTCTCAAAAGCAAAGAATAGGTTTTCAAGCTTTTGAAATCCTTAAAAAGTCTTAAATAGTAACAAACTGGAAGCTCTAAAAAAATGATTCGTTTCCAAAAATCGGAAATCGTTTGAGATTTGCGATTTTCTTACTATCTGAGAAATTTGATTCTCTTTAAAAAATCTTTTCAATTTTTTTCGGATCAATCTGTAAGCCTAAGTTGGTTTTTGATTGTTCGATAAACTATTACAAGGTGGTCCAAAATTCTCCTTTGTTGAACGAAAAAAATGAGTATCTTCATTACGGATTAAGCAAATGAGCTGAATTTTTTATTAATGATAGATGGATGTTCAGGGTTGATATTCACAATGACATATTTAACTAGACTCCATTTGTTAAATATCACTATTAATCTCAACAGAAAACAAAAATTTATTTTTCCACAGATAGGAAAAAATATACAGAGTGGTACAAAAGTGACTTTATCGAAAAAAAATTAAATATCTCCACTATGACCAGAGCAAACGAGCTGACTTTGTTATCAACGATAGAGGCATATGTAGGGTTTGCATTTATAAAGACAAGCCTAGAAAGACTCTTTATTAAGTATATTTCATTGTTTCCAATCGGTAAAAAAGTAAAATATTTCTAGTTAAGATCAATAAGAATACTTAATAAAGCATCTTTCTTCTCGTGTTTTTATGAATATAAACCTTGAGCATGTTTCTATCATTGACAAAAAACAATCAGCTCATTTACTTGAGCTGTAATGGAGATATTCAATCTTTTTTCAGTAAAGTGACTTTTGGGCTATCCTGTATTTTGGCCGATTTCCGAGCAGACGAGTTTTTTAGAGTGTGCAAAAAAAAATTTTTTGAGCAAATTGAGTTTCTGAAAAAGAATTTTTAAACTGTATGTCCAAGGAGAGGATCAGCAGAAAACAGGCATTTCTGGACACAGTGAGATTGGATGGAAAAAGGGTCGTTTTTTGGGGAACGTCTCTTATGGATGAGTCCTAAATGTAAATGAGCTTGTTATACAAAACGAAGTATTAATTATTTCTTTAGTTTTCTTTGTTTCTTTTTTTTGAAAAATGGAAAAATCATTTAGATCAATTTACATAAATTATGTGTACATGAAAATATTATTCAATTTTATGATTATAAGAAAAAAGGTTCAGAATATCATTTATATCTTGAATATGCTGCTGGTGGTGATTTATTTAACAGAATTGGTTCGATATCAATCATATAAAAATAAAAAAAAGATTCTTTTTTTTTCTTAGAATCTGAAAATGGAATTGAAGAAAATCTTGCACAACATTATTTTAAACAAGTTATTTCTGGAATGGTAGGAATAGATTTTAAAAAAAAAAACCAGAATTTTTTAGATTTTTCTTTAGAGTTATCTTCATAGCCTTGGTATGGCACATCGAGGTTTGTAAATAATTTAATTAAATTTATTAATTCTTTTATTTCGTATTACCCATGTAAAAAACTTTTCTCCAAAAAATCACGAAATAATTGGATATTTAATCAATTTTTTGATTAATTTTTTTTACATGGATAGATCTCAAACCAGAAAATATACTTATTGGTTATAATGGTATAATAATAATTAATTTAAAAAAAAAAGTTCTTATTTTCTGTATTTAGAAATATTGAAAATTTGTGATTTTGGACTGGCAGCAATGTTTTATGATGAAACAAAAAAAATTAAAAAATTATTAAATACTTATGTAGGTACAACAGCATATATGGCACCTGAAGTAATTCGATTATAACGAATACGAATATAATCTAATAAAAGTTTCTTATAGATTTTTAAAAAAGTACCATACGATGCTGAACGTGCAGATGTATGGTCATGTGGTATAATTCTGTTTATAATGTTGTGCGCTGGTAAATTTTTTTTTATACAATCTTTCTATTTATTTTATTTCTGTTTAGATTTACCATGGACACAAGCAACAGAAGATAATCCCAGGAGAATCATTCCAACAATCGGATCCGATCGGATTCCTATCGGATTCGATCGGATTTTATTGGAATTTCTATAAATCTGACGAAATCCTATAGGAATCCGGGAGACGATCCTACTAACGGAACCTTAGTGTCTAGACATTATAGGATCCTACTATCGGATTCCGATAGTAATTCATCGTATAAATATGACTGGTCTCTAGTATTGGGTTAAAATGCTAATTAGCACGTAATTAAGAAAATAGGTTTCGCTCGTCAGATCCGTTAGTCGATCCGTTTCCCGGAATCCCATAGGATTTTGTCGGATAGTCGGATTCGATCAGATCCGATTGGATCCGGTATCTGATTCATTCACCTGGGATGAAGCGTATCTTTCTTGGTATAATCGTACACATGATCCATTTTTAAAACTCAATTTTATGATCAATAATCTGATTTACAAATTATTAAATGTTGATCCAATTAAGCGTACAAATATGAATGATATTATAAATCATCATTGGTTACAGAAAAATAATGGTAGGAATATAATATTATTTATATATATATATATATATATATATATTGACATTTTCCTTATCATTTATTTTTTCATGTTTTTAGAATGAAGCAGCAGAACCTGTATATATAAAAAAAAAATTTTGCCACAATCATCTACTTTAAAAAACATTTATCAGTTGTTTGTAACATCATATGAAGTTGTTTGTAACATCATATGAAGATGTTTAAAAAAAATGTAAACTTTTTTTATTGTTTTATATTTTTGTCAATAAATTGAATCTATGAATAGAAAGTCAAGAATTACGTATATTATATACACCTTTTTCTCATTTTTTTGAAAAATTTTCTTCACAAGACATATAGCTGAATCTATCCTCGATCGATTGGTGAAATCCATATCTCAAATTCTTGTGATTTGATCTATCCAGAAAGATTTTTTTGAACACTAACTTTCGATTATACATTCACACCCGTTGGTTTGAATATATAATCCTGCTATTGCTATCAAAGTGAATGTATAATCACAGCTATGTTATATATAATTTTTAAAATCTAATTTTTAAGCGTTTAGTGAATTTTTTTTTGGTAATTTTTTACTAGAGGATAGCTCAAAGTCTTTTCTATCGCTTCAAACTAATCTTATGATTACAAGTTAAGATTGTACTTTTATAATGTAACTTGCATGAAGACCTTTAAAAACAAATTTTTCATACATTCATCTCACAAGCTCAATAATGGTTATACATTTACCCCATATGGGATGAATGTATAATCTCAGCAGATCTGCTGGACACCCACTAAAACTCAAGTTCTGGAAGATTTACAAGGAATTTTGAGGTGCTCTCAATAACAAAAATATCTAGAATAATGATCTCACTAATGCTAAAGCATTTCAAAAATTGATTTAAAGTTTTTATATGTACTTTTGATTATTATACGAAAGTCAAAGATCGAATTTAAGATTAAAATGAATATTTTCCAACAGAATTTTACTAATAATATGGTTGTTATTATTATTCATTTTGATCAGGATGTGTCAAAATCTATTTTCTTTCTCGTACTACTTCAATTAGAAATTTTTTTTTTTTGTCTACAATAATTTCGTATTATATTAATCATTAACTATGTTTAAATTTCAGTAACTTTGATGTAGTATTAAGATAGACCATATAACGACGATTGTTGTTTAAAGAGAATAACTTGCATGGCGAGCTCATGTATTTAATAAAATACTTTGAGTTTAGGTTTTCGAATTAAGAATGTTGGTATTTCAGTGAATAAAACCACAATTATCAAATAACCATATCTCAAAGGTACTTTTCATTAGATGGTGATTTAGTAATAAAATTTCCTAACAATTTTTATAAAACGTATTGAGTTGAGTGTATCTTCTGCATAAGTCTTTTCTAAATTACTGTGGTCTAATTCAGAAAAAAATTTCAAGTACATTTAAAAAATTCTTTTACATGAATATGAATATATTTTGACTTAGTCTAAGGATTCACGGATTATTCAGTATGAATTTGGAAAATATTTGAAGAATATTTTTTTAACTCATGCAGGTTATTTTTGCATAACGAAAATATTTATCTTATTGTGGTTTAGATTAATCTCAACACAATACTAATCAATTTTTAATATATATAATGTTATTTAATTGATAGAAAGGCATTAGTTTTAATATGTTTAATTAATTGAAAGAAAAATATTTTAACAATGCAGAGAAACCCAATTGACAAATAAACTTTCTAATTATGCTTCAAAAAATACTCATAATATCGTTGACAGTTATTGGAAAAAATCTAAGATTTATGACACAATGATCGAAAAACGTTTTCATAGACATATTTAAACATGACACTTGTTGTGACTTGATGCTATTGTTACAATCTGAACTTTCTCAGATCAAACTAGAAAAGTATTGAAAATAGATTATTTTACTAATTCCTAAGTTCTGATAAGCATTTAAACAATTTTAAAGTCAACGATAGATACTTTAAGAATATGTAGTAAAAAATTAAGTTAGACGATGCTCAAGTTTTCAAAATACTTAAATACTGTAGTGTTGAATATGATTTCAACGTTAAAACAGCATTTCTCGAACAAATTGGGGGTTTCATGATCACGATTGTGAACGTGATTCATTTTATTAAATTTTCTGGATTGTCACTGAAGTGTCGTTCAGAGATAGTCAAGGAATTTAATCAAAAATTGATAATTTGTGATCGTTCTTTTTCTTGTTTTTTTTCATTTATATGTAGAGTATATTTTTATAGTATAGTTTCAATAACTATTCGGTCTTAAGTTATTTAAATCAGATCATACAACTATAGCTACTTATCCACTCATTCATAAGCATTGATAAGTAAGAATATAATGAAATAGATACGAGTCTGTAGTCACGATCAGATATCCAACATTTTATTTCTCATTTATCGCTGGTGTCACTTATCTATTTGTGTTTCTTTTGCTGAGCATCATCGATTTAATATTCTTATATCGAATTTTACAACCCTCACCATACTGTAAACTAATAGAAGAGTATCATTTCTGCATTATCAAACCGTACACATGTTCACAGCAGAGGCTTAGAATTACTTCATCAAGATTTTTTCTCACATTCAAATGATCTTCAGCATATATTTTTATTAAATTTTTACCATATTTACAACAATATTTTCAATCACATCAACGTCCATTTACTACAATACTTTTATATCTTGCACAAACATCAACTAAACTTATTCCATCTGATATTCTTTAAAGTATTTGTAAAACAGTTGCAAATCATTTTACAATAGAATGAAATTATGATGATGTTATGACTGGTGGGTTTGACTTTAAGAAGAAAAACAAAGAAAAAAAGAGCCTTTTTTTTTTACTTTTTGTTTGATTTAAATATAATTGTCAAATTTGTGCAAAATGTTAATAAGCGATGAATGAAAGTTCATTATTGCATGATCTTTTAAAATATAAATTCTATCGTGAGAAATTTCTTTCAAATTCAGCTAACTCATTAAATCAATTATTTTTGAGAAAAATCTATTTTTATTAGAACCAAAAGATGAAGGAAAACCAAATGAATCTTAAAGTGATCTTGTTTCAATTGATTATGCAGAAATAATCCCAATATCATATCATTAATATACTGAAATACTTCATGTTAGTATCATTGATCATGATCAACAAACAATTGATGCAAACGAAGAACACGATGATTAAAATGAAGATGATTGAACAAGACAAGATGAAGAGCAAATTCAATTAAAAGAAGTAGAAAAATAAATATATCTATATATGTTAGATAAATTATACAAGCAAGAATCTATCAAATCAAGATTGTTTTCTTTTCTCTCTGTTTTTATTCATTCTCCAATTAAGAGTACCAAGTCGATACGAAGAAAATCACAAAGATTATTAAAATATTTTTTTCTCCTATTCACATCTCATCATCAACTAGAGATACAGAATTTACCGAAGATTCTTGCAAAATGCATGAAAGTCTAAAAATAATTTCTACTGCTTGAATAAATCCAAGTAAGAATGTCATTTTTAACAATATACATTGACGAATTTCGAGCAATTATTCATTAGATATTTGCTTTCTAGAATATTTCTTCTGAAAAATACCTCCTTTTCATCAGTTTTAGATAAAACAACCTAGAAAATTAGAAAAAAAAAGCAACTTATGAAGGAGAAAAAAATTGACATTCACAAATTACGAATATTCAAAGCCATCGAACACTTGAAATGAATTAGGTGTTTGTTATCTATATGTAACAAATATTTTCAAACATGTATTACTTTCTAATGTTCGATTGCTTTTTGCTATCATTGAGCTCAACATAAATGCTAAGATTTACCCTAGAGCCTATCTGGAAAAAAATGTTTATTACTCATTTCATAGATTCACGAAAAATTAATTGTATTCTGTTTTACTTTTCTACGTTTACATATCTTCAACAAGTGGAAGAATAGGAAGTATAACATTCAGAGATGAGAGTGAGGGTGAAGTGTAACGGAACTAAAAGGAGTAGAGAAATTGGCATATATAAAGATAAATAAAACAGGATAAATTTGATTTTTTGCGGATCCTTACTCATCTTAAATAAACAATAAAGAGAATAAATTCTTATGAAAGAGAATAGACTAAATTATTTCTAACTACGAATCTAGAAAAGTTTAGATTTTCCTTAGAAAAAAAAAACTCTACATTAAGTCTTTAATGAAACTGAGTTTTATTTTCTTTTAAACTTAGAGAACGTTCCTGACTAAATATCTTTTAATCTATTTCATTCTAGTTCAAGTTTTTTCCTCCTCCATTTTCGTGAACATCTTCGAGTGAACTGGTTTATTTTTCAGTAGTGTTGCTACAGCTTACGACTAGAGTCTGTACTCCTATCATCAACTACCAAAATTAAAACACATAAAATGCGGAAAGAAAAAAAAACTATTATGTATGAAGAAACCATTACCCTAATGGATAATTGAAACATTATTTAACAAAATGTTGAAGACTAAATAAAAGTTAACTAAATCTTGAAAATTATTTTTTTTTCGTTGTCCATAAATTAAAGTGTCATCATTCTACACCGTTTATTTTAGATTACCCCCTGAGACATAAAAATGTTTTCTCTTCCGTAAAAATGCTCGAGAAATATCATCATTAAAAGAACACAAGCATTATTATTAGCAAAAAAAACTAAGCATTATCCGTTATATGACGAATGTAACAATAATGTCAGGCCTGGTTTTTTTTTGGCATTAGCTTAAGTATACACGTTAATATCGATTAGAAAATGAAAAATATAATAACGAGTGCGCCATAAATAACTGTCCTCTCAGTATTTTTAAGTTTTCTTCACTATTACCCCTGTAATTAAAACACCTTTGTTTATCAAAAGATAGCGTTTGAAATTCTCTACAAAACTATATATGAACAGACTCAAAAACCATTTTAAATATATTTGAAAAACGACGAAAACTAAAGACATATAAAAAACTGTAAAATGTAAATATTAACACGATGATTATGGATGTTACATCTACGCTTTGATAGGTGTTTGTATAGTTTCAGCTTGTTTTTGTTTGTGCGCCCAAAGAATCGCAAAAAGCTAGTAGATCGTATAGATCTCAATCTGCTCTACAACTATTCTTCCAAAAAAATGAACGAAATTTTGCTTAGGGAAAAACTTATGATGCTCGTACACTGAGGATGCCAGAGATGTGCGGCCCACGGGGTTCACCCCGCGGGCCCCGCGGGGCCACGTGGTGACAGGCGGGCGGGGAAGAAAAATTTAATTAAATACGGGGTTAACGGGGCGCGGGTATTTTCCGATCCACGGACGGGCGAGGCAGGGAACAAATTTTTAAAATGATACGGGTCTCGGGCGGGGTGGATATGAAATACACGGGTTCGGGCGGGTAAACATTTTTTTTCGGGTGTGACGAAGGATCGTCAAAATTTATCAAGAGATGTCATTACTGCAGATATGTATAGTACAAAGCATATATTGATTGGTTTATTGCTTTCATTCTATTATGTGCAAGCTTGCCTGCTATTTGTTTCTTTCTTTCTTTATCGTCCGTTATGCACAGTTTCCACTACTAATTTATATTAAGTGAATAACTGGACTAAAACTTATTTTATATTTAGAATTAATAATTGAATTTTTTTTGTCAATTCCTATGATCGAATTACATGACTTATCTCCTGATGAATCACTTGATAGTACAACTTCGAATACGAATCGTTCATCTTCAATCATTTCTTCATCTCTTGGTCAATGCTAGTGACGTCGCCAGAAAATAAAGCTAGAGGGAGCTCATCCCCCACGGACGTACCGAAGTTCTAGACACGAAAAACAGTAAAATAGTTTGCAGCACTGTTGTAAAGTTATTTTTCGCTATCTTTCTTTTCTATGATATTTTTAAGAAACACTGCGCAGTAAAAACGTCTTTCTCTTAGTAAAATTTAGATTTCTTGACAATGAAATCATTGTAGAATGAATAAACATTCATTATTGTTTTAGAAGAACATAATGCTGAAGACGACAGCTTCTTGAAACAGAATTAAAATGATTGGCTCGAAAGAGTACAATTCATTCAAATAGGAACTCGCGATTCAGGAGCAGTAGGCACAGAACTATATCATTTATTATCTTTCATTGCCGAAGTCACTCAATAATTAATGAAGCCCTATTTCACATTCAAAACTGAAATGAAGAAAAGAAGTCAGCAAATCGAAACGTTACAGAAACGATCTAATTCGCGAAACGAAAACTTTTCAAAATGCACAGAAACTATACAGGACGATTCACTTATTTTTACTCATTTTCTTCAGTTTATTGTATTTCTATAAAACATCAGAAATTTTCTTATTTTTATATGATTAGATAGAGCGTTGATTACTTTATCCAATGGTACAGTTTTCGTTTGATTTGTCTTACGTGCTGGTCAAAAAATGAGTGAGTTTCGTGAAGCAGGCACAAATATTTTTGCCAAATTTCGAGATGTTTTCTTCAAGTAATTCGAGTAATTATAACGCATTGGACAAATGAATATATTTCGTTTTTAAATAGTTAAATAGAGAATTCATTACTTTATCGAACTATATATTTTTTATCACTTTATTTTCCAAATTGACTGAAAATTTAGTGAATGTTTAACAAATGCTTTGGATAAATTTTCAATTATTTGTCTTTGTCGAGTAAATTATAGTCCTTTAGCTATATCAATCTTTTCCATTAATATACAGTACGATAGAACAGCAATTTCTCCATTAATTCATGCAATTTTAGCCTGATTTAGTTATAAAATTTTATAGCTGAATTTATGATTATATGAACAGCACCGGAAATGAAGTAGTACGAAGTGTCTAAAATTCCAATAGTAAAATTTTATTTTCTTCTCGAATTCAAAACATTCTTATTTAATACTTTGTGCAACTTTAAGTATGAAGGATCTCTTCCATTTATGGTTAATTTTGCGATAATCGAATTTAGCTTGAGTTAAGTATATACGTTTCCAAAGGGTGTGGGTGTGGATATGTCAAAGTATCCGTCCTACCAGCGTTGTTGAAGATGAAGGTTTTTTAAATATTATCCAACAGTCTCTTAGCTGGAATGGTGGTGAGACATCTATGTATAAAAGGAATGTATTATTAAAAATTAAGTATTTGGTAAATAAAAAATTTCTTCGGGTTACACGGGGGCGGGGCGGGCCCGTCACAAAAATGGCGAGTCAGGCGGGCCGATCCAAGAAGCGGCCTGTGCGGGGTACAGGCGGAGCGTGTATAGATTTTTCGGGGCACAGGCGAGGCGGGGATTCTCATAAAGAATATCCACGGGGTTCGGACGGGACGGGTTTGTGAATCTTACGGAGCGGGTCCCGCGGGGCATGAAAAATCGATGCCCCGCACATCTCTGGAGGATGCCGCCTTTTCTGAAAGCAAGTGGTGCTATCACTCTTCTGAATCCTATAATTTTTTTCCCTAAGCAAAATTTCGATCATTTTTTTGGAAGAATAGTTGTAGAGCAGATTGAGATCTATACGATCTACTAGCTTTTTGCGATTCTTTGGGCGCACAAACAAAAACAAGCTGAAACTATACAAACACCTATCAAAGCGTAGATGTAACATCCATAATCATCGTGTTAATATTTACATTTTACAGTTTTTTATATGTCTTTAGTTTTCGTCGTTTTTCAAATATATTTAAAATGGTTTTTGAGTCTGTTCATATATAGTTTTGTAGAGAATTTC